CTGATATATATATATATATATATGTTATTATGACCATTAATGACATTAAAGTTGGGAACACTCCTAATGGAGTATCACCCCAAGTTCTGGGCAGAGCATGACATTGCTATTTCCCGTGTGTGCATGACTGAGGCATTTTACTCTGATAGCTCTGAAATTGTGATCTGATAATATTCTAGGTAGGTTATCTCAGCAAACTAGTTGTGTCCACTGGTTGCACGGCAAAAGGTCGATAAAGAAAAGATGTTGATCTGTTTGCTAATGTAGGAGACATTTATTTAGACTTTGATATGAAATTCAATGAATAGATTTCCTGTATTGATAATGAGGCTTTGGAGATTTGATGAGGTGACCAAAATATTATACTTTGAAAAGAACTTATCTAGAGCAAATTTACATTAGCTAGTTTGAGATAAAGGAGTAAGATTTAAAAACAAATTCGAATTCAGATTCTCAGTGATCACACGGATATATTCCACATGTGTCGGTATGCTATAGTTTATGTACTGGCCGGCCAGACCTGTGGGTCGCCACAACTAATATCTGAACAATTTCTGGACAGCTTTCTCCCTTTCCCAGTGCCATATGGTGATGAATTCACACAATTTACACCTCTAAAAACAACAGACAGGTTATAAGATTCATCTTAAAATGAATTCTAATATTAAACATGAAACCTGTTGAGATAATTACTATGATATACTACTTATGATATATTTTTTACAGTTAGGTTTTAAATTAATAATTGTATGAAAAGCATCCTTTAAATCCCTTATGATTCATCTATGATATTCTTGTACCAGCTTCAGGGGAGACATGCTGAAATACATGATATAACGGTTTACTGCATACTTTCAGTTAAATCAGACCTGAAGTGCAAGCAAAATCTTCTGATTCAGTGTTTACCAGAGGTATCTTTAAATGTTTTAAAATATGTTAATGATCGTTTGATTACAACACCAGTGTTGTAGATATATATATGTGCTTACACACATGAAGTGTGCAAGTGCAAACTTGTGCTTCCACAAGTTGTGCAATGCAACTTTTCAGTCATAGCCTATTGGCCAAGGCCATTTCTTTTTAATTTTTAAGAGAAGAAGGATTACAATTTCTCATGTTTCATTGTTAGTTTAAGTTAGGCTATGCATGTATTTTCTGTAACCAGGAGGTTGTTTATTATAATTTAGTTAGGTATAATTATAATTGCTCGCGATTAGCTCGTGGTCTCATTATGCAAAATTCAAATTCAAAAGTGCAACATTATCAGTGAGAGCAGTAGAGTCGTACAATTACATGATAGCACATGTGATTTCTCATGCTTATTTACAACACACTCATGTGTGGAAACAGTAATTTGTAGGGATATACTATTCTTTATGCAATAATTAAGTCTCATAATATCCTTTCAAATTCTAGAGTATTGTTCCTGTAATAAAGCTAGAATGACATCATTTTAGTAAAAAATCAGTAGTCTATAAATACTTATGTGATGTCCAAAACAGTATAGAACCTTAATTAGACACTTAGTTTAAATATTAGGGTGCTAGTGACATTTATCATTTGCTCTACTCGGCTTGGCCATAAAGGTGAAAGGTAAAGCAACTTGTGGTTAACTTGGTTTTCTTGGTGTGTTTCACTGGTGCATGAGCACTAAGCCTGCAAAACAGCAGTAAACAGGGTGATGTTGCTACCAATGCAGATCACATGGTGGATTAATGGTCATGTCAGCATGTCATCGGCAGGTTGATACACGTGTGTGTCACTGGGTTGTCATGCGCGCGACACGTGTGTGTCCAACAGGGCATATAGTGTGCTGATATGTGGGCTGGGTGTGTCGTTGCTGATTCTGATATATATATCTGGATCTATTTTAAGACCCAGTAATCTCCCCTGCCACATCCATTTTTTTCATAACTTCTCTTGATTATTTATGGATGATAATTTTATAGAAAGATTTAATTGTGAATAATTAACTTTAATCCATTGTAATTATATGATAGTCTATTGCTAGTACTGAACTATGCTGAATCTATCTCTTGTTTATTGCCTAACAAAATATCCATATAAACATGATAAACGTCTTTATAAAATATTGTGATCAATTGCTTTTAGGATAAACACAAATGTCGACCTAATCGTTAATGGCACTGAGGTAATGAGAGCTCTGGGATTAAAGCCAGGGGAAGCTGCTGATCATGCGACGTTACAAAACATGCAACATCTCCAGGAGGCATTTACGTTTTTCTTTGGCAAAGGTACGTGTGTGTGATGGTTTTTACCGATGGTATAGTACTACGACACACACGAATAAATATAATTAATTCACGTAGCCGACTTCATTTCTGCAAACGGTCAACACGGATAGGTAACTATGTATAAACGTGTAAACATGATAAGTGGTAAACATGACACTAGCTGGGTAAACATGATTTTTATGGTGATATTGATATTCTGGGTATATATTTATGATATTCAAGTCATATTGTTATCAGTTATTGTAATTGCTTTGTTTAGGCTCAGCTGCAGAAAGATATTATGAAGATGAAGCAGGATTCAATTCTGTTGTAACTGCTGCTTCGTCATTACAAAATGCACAGGTGATTTATTTAATTTTTTAAATCAAAATTGCTCAACCTAGTAACAATAATAGTGCGGGACTGTATGAAATTGGGGGGGGGGGGGGGTTACTACAGTAACTATCTGTCAAGTGATAAACAAATAATATAGTCTGTAGTTTGTGTGTAGTATGTGTGAAGGTCATCTAAAATGTTCTTCTCATCTCTTCTGGCTAATAAGCCAAAAACATACATGTACTATTATGCTATCCCAATTTTCCTATGCAGTGGTACATAGGAGGAAATGCTGCTCTAATGGCACAGAAAATATCTTCAACATTTCCTGAAACAGAGGTAACCATGCCATATGTTGCATGTGCTATGATATGAAATTTATACTATAAGTTGGATCCCTCTTCAACAGTTTTTGAAGCAAAGTTCGAGTTTCGAACATAGCCCAACAATTTAATTACATTTAATATCCTAAATAGATTCTCCTATTCAGCTGAACCGATGTCAAAACTGACTATGCATGAAATATTGCTACGTTGTCTCACTTGAGTTCCGTGTGTCGTAACATCATGTGTGTTTCCTTAACACAGGTGATGCTGGTGGGGCCCGTTGGTCCGAAACTGCTCTCCCTGCTCCACACTTCAGTAAAAGTGCCGGAGAAGGCCCTCATAGATGAAGATGAGGTGCATCTGATTATGGAGTACCAGAAGAATGAGATATGGGGAGGCCGCAGCGCTCCGGTCGCAAATCGATTCATAACCTCACACGACGAGTCCAACTCGCATTTACTCATGCAGCATGTAAGTGTAAGTACGTCTTCCTCTCTGTCTGTAGCAAACGATCCCGGATTCTCGAAATTATTATCGGCACACGTCGGGAAGTAAGCGCAAACTTTTTCATATGTACAGTCGGTACGCTCGGTCTCTCTCTCTGTGTTTTTGCCTTCTTGATCGGCTACGTGTGGTTCTGAATGTGTGTCATCTGTCTCTGCATGCAATTGAGTGTTTGTTATACCATGCTGTTTTTGGAATTATTTCGAGGACACAAAGTCTCCACTTACTTTTTTTACTTACTTTTATATACTATTATAATTATATTTAGCAATTATGTTAATATTATTTTAAGTATAATTTACTAATAAATGTTACAAACAGTGATCGCTATAATGTACCCTCTGCATGGATCGTGTGTATGGTTGGTCTTTTCGCTAATGCGTGATAATCCTAATTCGATTCGTGGTCGGTAGGCTTTCTTTGATACTTTGGCTTCATGGGATCCGGACCTAATTGTTCTGGCCGGCTTGCATCTCTTGGATGGTCATGAGGAGTCGCTGTGGCAAAAGAAACTGCAAGGGCTCAGAGAACACCTGAAGACATTGCCCACATCCACGCCCATTCATCTTGAGGTAGCCAGCATGGCGGACCGGAATTTCACGGCACAAGTAGTGACACAGGTAAGTGTGGCATTTTTGCTGTCACTGAGCGACTTCTGGGTACATGTATATTGAATTGCGCAGTTACTGCGTAATGTGCACAAATGATGAATTTCCCAAAACAAAAACAAAACAAATACATATGCTAAAAAACAAGGAAAACAATGACAGCGGAAAGTAAAATAAAAACTAAAAAATATAAGACTAATAATAACGATCCAGCAACAGTTTCCGAAATTATAAGAAATCCATTAATGTCTGCACCCCACCTCAATTCACGAGTTCACCCACACCCTGTACTAAATCTTGAAATGATGAGAAGTTAAACGTGTACACCCCACGTCAATTCACAAGCTCGCTCACACCACATACTAAATCCTAAAATGAAGAGAAATTTTATAGTGCGTGTGCTCTCGTCCAGTTCACAAGTTCGCACACACCATATATATACTAACTCCCGAAGCGATGGAAAATCCAACGATGCCTGCATGCTCCGCGTCAGTTAACAGGTGTTCACGCGTGCCTTATATACTAACTCCTGATCGTTGTTCCGCACAGCTGTTTCCGTTCGTCGACTCGATCGGTTGCAACGAGCAGGAGCTTGCGTTCCTCTCGCACGCAGCGGGCGGACCGCACGCCAGCATGTACGTAGAGGGCGTCGCCGTGCAGCCTGACCTCGACAAGGTCGTCGACATCATGCACTGGCTGCTGACGTCGCTAGGCGATCGGCTGTCACGCGTGCACTACCACAGTCTAACCTATCACGTCATAGGTGAGTGTGTCATAGCAGCAGCTGCATAGATGCGATGGCGCAACCAGCTGAGATGTAGAATGACGTTATATATTGTGTATGCAGTCTATAGTAGTCTATAGACGCTATAGAGACGCGCGTGTGTGCGTGCGTGTGCGTGCGTATGTGTGTGCACACGTGTGGGTGTGTGGTCACGTGTGCGTGCGTGCGTGTATGTGTGTGTGTGCGTGCGTGCGTGCGTGTATGTGTGTGCGTGCGTGCGTGTGTGTACGCGCGCACGTGTGTGTGCGCGCGCACGTGCCTGTAGACGTGTGAGTGTGCACGCGTGCTCCTCGTATAAACCGCTCACACATCTTCGCCGTCGGCTGTCATTGGTGCAGGCGTGCGGACGGACCGCTGGAACAACACACGGCAGGCGATCGCGGCCGGCGCGCGGGTCGCCGGCCAGCAGGCGTGCATGCAGCTGGAGCTGACGCCGGACATCGTCGAGCTGCGCATGCCGCGCGACGTCCGATTCGGCGACGACGCGTCGCTGACCTACGACCCGACGCAGCCGGCCGTCGGCTGGCAGCGCGGCGACGTCTCGTACTACTTCTCGCCGGTGCTCATCTGTAAGGAGCCGCTGAGAACTGTAGGTCTCGGCGACGCCATCTCCTCCACCGCGCTCATCTACTCAGAGTTTGTGAGGTGAGTGGGCGAGGCTCTCCCACATCTACTCGGCGTTTGTGAGGTGAGTGGGCGAGGCTCTCCCACATCTACTCGGCGTTTGTGAGGTGAGTGGGCGAGGCTCTCCCACATTTACTGATCAGAGTTTGTGAGGTGAGTGGATGAGGCACTCGTCTCATCTGTCTCATCTACTCAGAGTTTGTGAGGTGAGTGGGTGATGCTCTCCCTCGTCTGCCTCATGTACTCAGCTTATGTGGTGGTAGGGTGAGGGGCATTGTTCTACCTATCTCACCTACGTAGGAAAGTGGGAGGTAAGCCGAGTAGCGATTTATATTATTTGAAGTTACTTATGCGCCAGTATTTTGCTACTATCAATTTCGTTTCTGCTCTGCTTTGAGTTGGGTCATGAAAAGAGTCGAAATAAGATATAGTTGAGAATAAATGGGTGATAGGTGTTATTTATTTTAGCCCAATATTATAATTGACCAGTTTTAACTCACACGAGCTATCCAATGTACTGTAATGAATTTGTGCACGTATGCTGGGATGATGCTGGGATGATGCTGGTTTGCGTGACCCATGGAGTCCATACAGTCATATCTCTTGGTGAGATATGTTACAAACGTTACCAGGGAAAGCTTGTGGCTTAGAAGCGCACCCAGTATTTTGCACTGGTTGTGATTAGGTAGAAGGTATATATAGTTAGGGATGTAGAAAGAGAGAGAGTGTGTGTGTGTTTGTGTGTGTGTGTGTGTGTGTGCGTGTGTGCGTGCGTGCGTGCGTGCGTGCGTGCGTGCGTGCGTGCGTGCGTGCGTGCGTGCGTGCGTGCGTGCGTGCGTGCGTGTGTGTGTGAGTGCGAACGTGTGCGTGCGTGTGCGTGCGTGTGCGTGTGTGTGCTGCAGATCAAATATTCTACGACAATAATCAAATGTAGTATAATCTACAGGGTGTTTTGACAATCTCCTGAAAGATGGCCTTATTAGTGATGTTCTTCGGTTTTACTTGACTAATTATGAAGGGGTGGTACGATACAGGTAACTCACAATATGATCCGTATATGCCTTTCACGATATGATACGTATCACGATACTTTCAAAAGAAACTACTCAACAAACTATATGCTTAACCAGTACTCTATAAATCGTTTGAATGGATCTCTGAAATCAGTATCGTGGAGCACTTGATAAACAACTTCCACTGAACTGCGAATTGTGTCATGCTTCTTTTGTTTTCTGATGAAACTATGCTACCAAACGTTATGGATTTTTTTTCAGTAGAGTATCGATGCGTGTTTCGTGAATAGTCAAACATATCGACACATTGTCAAGGTTTGTATCGCGATACATCGATATATCAATAAATCGTCCATAACCCGCATAATAACCCCCCGGTAATTTCTATAATTAAAGTGCCGCAGAATGAGTTTTTTTTGCTGGTGTTAATTAGAAGCTGTCTCGAACAATATCTCTGTTGAAAGGGTTGGTTACTCACCAAAGACTATTCATCTGTATCCTTGTGTACTCTAGTAGTGATATATTTTTTGGTCTCACGTACGTATAGTTAAAATTGTCTGTATAATATGTTATAGTTTTGTTCGGTGATGTTTGTTTATGCTGAAGAATATTAACTGTTCTGTTTCCAACTCGATATAGACCAATAAGGCAGGTGACAATCAACCGCTTGTCTGACCATAAATACTATTATGAGAGCTCTGTCTGTGATATCTACACAGTAAACTTGCGATGTCGACTAAGTCTGTGTCAAGGTAACATATCTTTCTAGAAGTGTGGTACTAGGTATGAAGCTCGGCTCTCGGAGCTGAATTACTAAGACCCCTGTATGTAACGCTGAGTGGATTGCTTTGTCGGAACCACGGCATTTCAGTGGTGGCATTAACTTACTGTATTTTGTAGGTTATTCGTAGTTGACACGTTTCAAGAGAAGTAAAACATTCTACACTGCAACGTTTATTATTAAAGTGTGTTCTGCATCTGTTATAGTTGGTATAATGGATTGTGGACTATCATGGCACGAGAGAAAGATGAATTAATAAAGATATGTATCATTGTATACAAATTATAATAGTATAAACGTGCGCAGTTTATTTATATATATATATATTTATTTATATGATATAGAGTGGTGATACTTTGTATGATTCCTTACATGTAAATGATATAATTTCATAGCTTTATCTATATGTGTATATATATATAAAGTGGTTGAGTTTGTGTGTACTCTTATAACTAGAGAACTACGCAGCCTAGAGGAAAACAGACTGGAAGATATATTCAGAATCAGCATGTCTCGGAGGTGGTTCTGGCTGAAACAAAAATTTAAAAAAGTTAAAAAGTTAAACATTGAATAAATATTGATGGCGGTGCGTACAGCTTAACACCTGTTAACACTTAACATCTCGGATGACTGAATAATGCTTTCTACGCATAACGCCCCGGTGGTCAAATAGATAAGCCATCGGTCTCCTAAACTGGCCATTTTGGGTTCGAGTCCCACCTGGGGGAATCTTTTGTTTCTTTACTTTTTTACTGTTTAGTATGTACTTCTGCCACTTGACCATTAATTTAAAAAATTTACAAATTTTACTACATTTAAAAGTTTAGTAAAAATCCAGAATAAACTATGGTAGATGATAATAATAGCGCGAATTGACGGGAAGACTTCACCGAAGCCTATGTAGGTTACAGATCAAATATATTTTAATTGTTTTTCCATGGTGGGCTGAAATTCACCAAATAAAGTATAAAAAACGTAACAAATCTATATATATCAAGTTGTTCCATATAAAAACCATATAAAAACCATATAACCATATAACAGCCAAGGGTGTGATGCTACGAGAAAGGTGAATATTATATATCTGATTTTACCATGCACACGTGGTGGCAGCCCGCCTGGCTCCACTTTGACCGTATAAAAATGGCCAAAGAAAATTATCTTAGCAGTCAACGGCTACCGATGTCCGAGGCCCAATTCCCCATCTAATACATATTTTTCAATGTGTGTCTGTTTGTCTGTTCTCGATGCAAATCTATACGGAGCACTCTAGAAATGTCAAAGACGTTCAGTAGGGGTACATGTTCGTGCTGAATGTCATGGGCACATTCGATTTGACCTTCGAGGTCATCTAAGCAAAAAAACGGAAAAATATACTGGCCCCTGCAGCAGCATTATATAAAGGCGCCCCTGCATCAACACTAAATAAATGGGCCCCTGAAGCAGCACTAAATAAACGGGATTCACTTTGCACTGACTTGAATTACTATACAATGTGTGTTACATTGTGTTACTATACATGCATTATGTTACATCCGCCATGTCATGATTGTAACAACATTTACCTTGCACTGACTTGATACAGAGTGTGCAAGACTATTTTCGATAGGTTAGATAGATAAATACACAGATAGATAGTTAAATAGATTTATAGATTGATTGATAGATATATAGATGGGTGGATGGATAAATGGATGGATGGATAGATAGATAAAAAGATAAATACATAGATAGATAGAATTATAGATTGATATATAGATAGCGCTTAATTTCCCGGGCAACGCCGGGTGTCCTGCTAGTTGATAAATATATCTCTAGGTCAAATATTTCTTATTTCATTACAAAATGTGAAATGGCTATGAATGTTAATTATAGGTTATGCATCTGTTTTTATATCACGCTTTTTACCTTTATTGATTTGATAAAAAATTCGTAGACACCACAAACAGTTTGTGGACCAAAAAATATTTAGCCACCACAAACAGTTTGCAGACCCAAACATTACTTTGCCACCACAAACAGTTTGCGGACACAAACATTTCTTAGCCACCACAAGCAGTTTGTGTACACAAAAATTCCTTAGCCACCACAAACAGTTTGTGTAGCAAAAAATTTCTTAGCAACCACAAACAGTTTGTGGACCCAAAAATTTCTTACCACGACAAACAGTTTGTGAATGAAAAAAATGCTTAGCCACCACAAACAGTTTATAGACCAAAAAATTTCTTAGCCACCACAAACAGTTTATGGACCAAAAATTTCTTAGACACCACAAACAGTTTGTGGACCAAACAATTTGTTGCTGCAAAAAATTCTTAGCCACCACAAAACAGTTTGTGGACACAAAGTGCCCGAAAATTCGTGGCCACCAGTTTGTGAGCCGTAATTTGGCTTGTTGTTTACTTGTAACTGATATACGTGTGGGTGCACGGGTTGTTTGTGGTGGCTTAACATCTCTACACAGAATTATTTATGGGCCTATGTAAAATTTCTCAACTGTTTGGCTAAGATTTCTTAAAATCATATAATCCATAGTGTACTGTAATGTATTATACTGTGTAGGTATTGTTTTCCATTATTATTTATTGTTATTTTTAAAGTATTATCCCTAATCTCTAAAATGCCTCCTTCAAAAGCACCATCTACCATCATTTTTATGAAAGAATTTTGGCAGCACTATGCCATTGTTTCAGTCAATAAAATATATAGATGCACTACTTGCCCTGGTGTAATTTTTCGTGCAGGGGGATTTCGAATCCACGTTCTAGACTAACTAGTACATACATAATTAGATACATAACTAGATAGATAGATAGATCGATTGATCGATCGATCAATAGATATAATTATATATATATATATATATATATATATATATATATATAGAGAGAGAGAGAGAGAGAGAGAGA